CCAATAGGTTTAGGACAAAACCTCTTGAAAATGTGAGTAAAAATGGGAAGGATTTGATATGGGCCGATTATGGGCCTCATTATGTGAAAGTTAGAAAAGTTTGTAATCTTGAGCTTTTTACTACAAAGAGACTTGAAGCTCTTAGGCCCATTAGAGAAGATGAAGTTACTGCCATGGTTGAAAGTATATTCAAGGACTGTACTAAGCCTGGTATGTCTATTTAATTAATCTGTTAAATACTTTGCATGTTTTACCTACTTCAGAATAAGTTAGGCTTGATGAATATGTCTAACGTTACATATCACTAAAGTTAAAGACAAAATTGAAGTTCCAGCATTTCTAATTGAACTTCAACAATATATGCATATTAACTTTAGACTGAAGTTTAGACAAAGACGATTAAATTCAATAACATATAATTGTGTATGAACTTCAGTCATGTGTATGTCAAAAGTTCAAGGTAAAAATAATTAAACTTCAGTCGTATATACTTAAACTTTAGCTATATAACACTTCACACAACACATGTTGCTATGAGGTGTCGATAGATCTTTTTTTTCATTTCTATGTACGTAGTTAATAATGGGTTAAGAGTGAAAACTCGACTTAGTCAACATTAGCCGAAAACGATAGGAGCATCATTATCATTTCGTTAGTTAAATATTAATATTAAAATACGTGATTAAAGTTCATTAATCGTATCAATAATCATTAGATGGAATTCAATTAACATTTTTATATTTAAGGTTGTTGCGTATAAGTACTACTTTCCAAGGGTAAGTCTATTTTTTTTGTTCCAGTCAAAATATATAGGAGATAGACTTAAAGTAATCCCATAGCACACGCTTTATAAAAAAAATTAACAATATTTTTTAGGTAACTCATAGTCAAAGAATTTACTTAATCGAATATTATAGAATTTGATCATTATCATACCTTGGTTAATATTTTATGATACTATATATGTTTAGAAAGTGGAAGTTCCAAATGATATTAAATTAAGTACACATATAGCTTTCACAACCATAAAAAAGTACATGCATAGTAGGTATACTACTGAATATTTTAATTAAATGGATAATAATAAGATCACGACTTTAAAAGGTGACAAATATAATATATACTAAAGTTTAGTGTAAATTTAATACTAAAACTACAACAAATACTCCGTATGTCTGACCCTTTTATATTTTAAGCATACTAATTGCTAGCTAAAAACGTAACGTTAGATGTTGAACTTTAAAAGTTTTTATATCACGTGCAGGCAATGTTAGTAAAAGTATGATGCTAAGGGGCTACTTGGGATCAGTAGCATTCAACAACATAACAAGGCTAACATTTGGAAAAAGATTCATAAACTCAAAAGGTGAAGTTGATGAACAAGGTAAAGAGATGAAAGCCATTGTAACAAATGGGATAAAAATTTCAGGAAAACCTAATTTGGGAGAATTTGTACCA